AAGGCCAGCCTGAACCACATAGTGAAACCCTGTCTCTAAAAGAAAAAAAACCTGGCAAGCGCAAGGTCGTGAGTTCGGTTCCCGGTACCAGAGAAAAACACACAAAAAAACAAAAAAACAAACAAACAAAAAAAAAAGAAAAGAAAAGAAAAAAAAAAATCCATAGGTTAAGTAAATAAGATCCAAAATCTACACTAAATATTGTAAAAGGGAAAGAAACTGCTCAAAAGGAAAGAACAACTAGGATCCATGAAAGGATAAAAATATACACAAAAGATAGATAAGATAATTATACTATTAATTTTAGTTCATTAAAAAAGTTTGTACTTATATTGTTTGATCAATTTTGCATGTTTATATCTTGTAATCTGAGCAACTACTTTCACGGTAACAACAGGGCCAGGGATATAGCAACATGCAATATATTAACCATTGTGAATGTCCTATTATCTTGTTTTGAAATGCTGTGGTAGTGTTTTTGTGGGGTTTTTTCCTCTTTAAAATAAATAAATAAATAATAAAAATAAAAAAGAATCCATGGGTTAAAATGTCACCTGCCTGCGCGATGCCTGGGGTATCGGGAGGGAAACGAACATGCCGCCGAGAGGTGCTCGGGGTAAACTGCTAAGTGGCTACCCACCCCACCCGCACAGGAGGAAAACACAGTAGAAAGCATCTGATTACTCCCGTGTTGTCAGCCTGAGCACTTTTCAGCACCCTCCGGAGCTTCTCGTTCAGTAGGGTGGACGGGGCCCAGTACCTGCATCTCTAACACGTCAGACCAGGATGCTGGGCCCAGGACCACACACGCAGAAGCACCACCCCGTCATTTCATGCTTCCCTTCTCAGGCTGAGGAGGGTGAACTGTACCCCAACCCCGAGCTCCAGCACCACAGCCCAGCCTGCATGCGGCCGCCGAGCGGTCTGCACCGCGACGTGCCAAGGAGGCACACGCGCTGATTCCTGCATGCGGCCCTTGCCTAAACAGCGGCATCCCCTCCCAGCTGAGGGCTCCTTACCCTTAAAATAACTTTCTGCTCTGATGCAGACCAGCGTCACAGGCCTGAAACCCCAGCTACTCACACAGGCAGAGGCAGGAAGATCACACGTTAAGGCTAGCCTGGAAAACTTAGCAAGACCCTGTTTCAAAGTTAAAAAAAATTAAAGAAGGATGAGGATATTGTTCCACGGTAGAGTGTTTGCTTAGCACGCACAACCCGGGGTTCAATCGCCACTACAAAGCAAAACACCCCACAGCCACCACCTAAGATGACTTTTCTAGGTTTAGGATCGAAATAGTATTCATGACTGCTTAGTAAATGAGCAACCTGATCAAACCTCTAAACTCCTGAAGGATGCTTTTGGAAAACAGATACACTATAGTTGGATAACAGCTAAATAAGAAATCCTTGAGGTTTGGTTTATGTATTTTTGTTCCTGTTTGCTTTCTTTTCTTTGGTACCAAGAATCGAACACAGGACCTTGCACTTGCCAGGCAGGAACTTATGCCACTGAGCTATATCCCCGGCCCTGTTCTTGTTTTCTTAATTTGAAGACTTTGGGAAACCACCATGAAATGTGTATTACTTTGTTTGGTTGGTTGGTTGTTGAGGGGGGGTGTTTGTTTTTCTGGCGTTTTTTTAGGCAGGTTCTCACTATGTAGTTCAGGCTAGCTTTGACCTCACTATGTAACCCATGCTGGCCTCGAACTTGCAGTGATCCTCCTGCCTTAGCCTCCCCAGGGCTGGGACTACAGGTGTATACCACCACGCCTGGCTTATCTTTGTATTTTTGATAGAAATTCAAAATGAAGTTCTAAATATCTTCTGATTTAAAAAAAATCGTTCAGCTAGGTGTGGTCTCCAGAACATGCGATTCAGCAATAACAGTAAAACTCATGTCCACTATTTATTGATGGTATTTGTGCAGCTGTTTGAACTTCTCACCTTTCTCAAGGCTGCTGAGGCCACTGTATATCCACTTGCCCTTCAGTGAGCTGTTCCCTCTCCCTTTATAACACAGGTGCAGTGAAGCACAGCAGTTCAAGAGCTTGGGCTCTAGCACCATGGACTGGGTTCAAACCCGGGACCCCTCACTCATTAGCGTAATGCTGTGGACAAAGTACTTCTCTTAGTCTGTTTCTGCAGTAGGAACAACAACTGTGCCTACTTCATAGAATTAGTTGGGTTCACACTGACCATCATACAGAACTCTGTTAACATTTTGGCCAGGATAACTGCCCGTTGTGCTGGACTGTCCCAAGCACCGCAGGACACGCAACACTGCTAGGTCCTTCTACTAAATGTCCATCATGGTGAGATTTCTCCACAATTCAAAAGGCGGGCCCTCCAATTTCCAAATATTCCCAAGAGGAGAGGGGTTCTCAGATCACCTTGTTAATGGGTATAAAACACTTAGTGTCTGACATATATCAAGCCCTCAAGTATCTGTTATTATATTCTTAATATTCTGTGTGTGTGTGGGTGTGTGTGTGCGCGCGCGCACGCGTGCCATATGAAATCCTCCTTTAACGCCTACCGTAGGGGAAGCCCTTTTTGATTCTTCCAGACCTGAGAGAGCTGCACCCTCCTCCAAGCTCTCAGGGCTCCAGATTCTATTTCCTGTAAAGCCACCCTGCATCATAATGTGTTCACCCATCCTCTTCACAGACAGCAGGCTGCAGAAAGATTAACTGTCCCCAGTTCCACATCCTGATACAAGCACAAGAGAGGCTCCATAAATTAGTGCAAGTTGCAAAGTACAAACAAAGATTCTGCACTGAGGTAGTGACCCTCTGTCCCCATTCTTAAACAATGGGTGTATCTATAAAACACAATTCTATTTACAGAATTACTGGCTTTCAGTGGGAGGATCTGTTTGGTCCTTCCAACGGCGCCGGGCAGAAGAGCTGGCATGCAGTATTTACTGAATCAACATCAGCCAATAAAAGTCAAGTCAAGAAATTACATGGAATTGTTGTTGGTATACACTATTTTTTTTACAATTAACTACCCTTTAAAAATAGTTAAAAGTCTTTATTTAACCCAGTTCATCCTCCTCATACAACATGAAGATCCCTTAAAATATTTCTCAGACTCAGTCATTTCTACACATCTTTCATGGGTTTTTTTTGTTGTTGTTGTTGTTGTTGTTTGTTTTTTTTCCGGTACTGGGAATCGAACTCACAACCTTGCGCTCGCCAGGCAGGCGCTGTGCCGCTGAGTTAAATCCCCAGGCCCCAACCTTTTGTATGTTTTTGCCAAGCAGAAGGATCAGTTGACTATTATTTAATACTCCCAAAGGTGCCTCTTGCTGGGAGTGGTGTTGCAGCCTGTAATCTCAGCACTTGGGGAGGCTGAGGCCGGAAGATTCCAAGTTCAATCCCAGCCCTGGCACCTTAGCGATTTAGCCAGAGACTGTCTCAAAATAAAAGAGGGCCGGGGACGTATCTCAGCGTGAAGGCTCCGGGTGCAACCTCCAGCACTGGGGTCGGGGAGGCAACAGGCGCTTCCGGCCGGGCACGCAGGTGCCGGGTTTTAAAACGAAACCCCACCGCACTGCAGGAGA